ACACACGAAGCGTCTTTCTCGAATGTAGGATGATGCAGACCTCCTTGTGATGTATTTAATCGCCAAGAACGTCGAGCAGCACTTTGTTGTTACGGGTTGATCTCCGGGAAGAACTTCGTTGATCACTCCTTTGTTGAAGAACTAAGCACTTGATGATTGATCTCTCTGTTTGTGGATGCCTTCACCAATTGCGGAGTGTTCTTCTCCAACTCTGAATGTCCCTAGAGAGTTATGTAACTCCACTATTTATAATGGTAGAGGATGGACAGTCCAGCTATATATGAACTCTCTTGCTTGATTCTGATTGGTTCATGTGAGTCATCAAACTTATCACATAAGCTATGTGATAAGCTTGTTTGTGATTGGCCAAGATATATCATTTTAGACACGTGGCAACTCTTGATTGGTCACTGTTTTAGACTGAGATTGCCACATCATTTCACACGTGTCGTCATCTTGTTGGCTTTGAGGTTGACTGGATATGCCATGTCACTTGACACGTGGCATGAGTCTGGGCCTTAAGATGAAATGGACCTTGGGCTTGAAAATAATAAAACGGGCTAATTTAATTTGTAAAGTCCAAATTAATTGTTTAACCCAATTGAATTTAATTCAAATTTTGTATGAATTAGACCCAATAAATATGTATACACTGATATTGAAAGAAACTCAACTCAATCAAGCTTGAAATGAAGCAATGATACTATCATGGAAGATATTTGCTGACTTCAAATGGTGCTTACTCTATAACTATGAGTTATAATGCCTTAGTGGGAGTCATGGTAAAGTTGTAAGAGGCTGATTTAATATGGACAAGGATAATGCAACCAAAGCAAAGGTTCATGTTCTGGTTAGCAAGCCAAGAAAGACTGCTGACCAAGGAAGGATTTCAAAGACTACAAATGCCAATGACTGATGATTCATGTTGTTTATATGAGGAGGGATTGACTGAATTTACTGAAACTCAAAAACACCTACTTTCTAAGTGTTCATGGATCACTGAAGTAAGGGGAGATCTGTCAGCATGGCTAGGAATTCAAATACAGAAGCATGGGGTAAGACAAACCATAAGGTAGATCAAAAGGAGGCATGGGAGAAAAACGAAGAAGGAGCTGTCCATAGTAGTCTAGGGAACTATGATCTACGACACACGACAGTCTAGAAATTGGAAGCAGTTTGTAAACATAAATGTAAATACAGTTTTTGTCATAGAACATATACAAAAGGAAACAAAGTAATAAATTAGAAATGATACGAGGTACAAAAATAACTCGAGGATGTCAAGTGTTAATTCAGAGATTATGTAACTAAGTTTTTTTGCCACTCGAGGTCTAGATGAATCATAACACCCTTCCTAAAAAGTGGTTGGCGTTCTAAGGACTCTTTATCAATTTAATTGTTAATGGTAATATTCCACAATTATTACGCAAATATTTCTTTCATTCTTTTTGTTGCACTTTTCATTTGGCTTTCCTCTCCTTTCATATTCTTTTTATTTCGATTTATGCGATAAAATTAGTATTCAAGAAGTTAAAGAAATTCTTTTACTATGCTTTCCTAAATAAGTATTTTTACTAACTATTATTGAGTAATGATATTCTTATGTAATTTTCAAATGATATACTAAACTTTTTCCAAAAACTTGAAAAGTCTATACCAAATTGGCACAACTAATTAAGCATTGTGACCCCCCACAACCACCACACTTTTCCACATAAAGTGGCAGTGTGGTACTAGTAGTTTTTAACAAAGTAAGGTGAGAAGTGGAAATAAAATCGAATTCAAATAAGTGTATCTGGAATTCTCTCCATAGAAATGGTATAGACGTAAAGTATAGCTAAACCGCACAATCTACCCCCCACCCCACCCCACCCCTCTTCCCCTGCCAGTCCATAAATACAGTAAAATAGCAATCTTCTTCTTTCTTTCCCAGACGCACTACTCTATTCTGATCGGTGACTGTTAAATCTTTGGTTTTGGACATCTTCTTTTTCTCTATCATTCTTCTGTAACAAAGATGTCAGGGCCTCAGTGCTGTGAGAATCCACCAACTTTGAGCTCAAGCAGCGGAGTTGGGTCAGTTTTAGAGTTTGGGGGCCTCAAAACCTATGTCTCCGGTTCTTCCAACTCCAAATACGCCATCCTCCTCGTCTCCGACATTTTTGGTACTTACCCTTTTAACCCTTTATTGTTTGTTCTTATTCATGAACTTTGGGCAACTGGGTTCTGCTCAATTTGCACTTTCATTTCTCTTTCTTCTTATTTTATCACCAAGATTGAGTAATCTATTGATCAAATTGGTACGACGGAAATTTCCGAAAGTTTAACTTATTTTTTGGAAAATACTTCTGAAAAAACGTTTTTTAGAGATTGATAAATAATGTTTGCAAATTAGATAATGTTTTAATGAAATTTGTAAGTTTAAAGATGGATAATGATATCTAAGTGTTATTACCTCAGTCCATTTAATGTGACACTATTTCATTATTAGTCCGTTGAATCATTGAGGCTTTTACTATTTTGGAAGTTACATAGATCTTTCTTTAAATATTTTCATTCTAAGAGTTGTGATCTTGTGTGTTCTTTGTTAAGTATCTTAATCTCATTTCAAATGCCAGATTATAGACTGGAAATTAGATGTTTTGAACCTTGGTACTCAACTCTTATGTCAAACAGTTACGGAAGAAAATTATGTTTTTCACCCTTGGTAATGTAAAACTATTACTCTTTTCGCTCAAAACGAAGTTTATTATGGTTTGAGGATTAGTGTTGTTATTTATATTGGAAGACAATCTCTTATGTCGCGAATACTTTGCAGGTTATGAAGCACCAAACCTAAGGTATGTGCTGCTTCTCAAGTTCAGCTTGGAGTTGTCAAATACCTTCTAAATACTTTCTGCACTTATGTACTTATGTTGCACCATATGTATTCTTTAGTATGTGTCTCTATTGTCAAGTATCAACAACTTCAGTTATTGCTTTCTTAGACACGGCCGTCGCATATACAACCACAACTATTTTAAAAAAAGAAACAGAAGTCAATTCACTAGGGTGTTTCTATGTTGTTGATGACTTCAGTTTTTGCTCCCTAGACACAGCAATACTCAAATACAACCACAACTCTATCAGAAACCCCCCCAAAAAAGGGAGGAGTCTGAATCACAGATTTCAGGAGATTCATTTATCTTATCTTTGTATCTTTTTGTTTACATTTCAAGGGAAGAAGTTGGGGTGACCATTTGTTGCATTCTTTCCAGTAATTAAGCTGCAAAAAGTTTATGTTTTATCTTGGGCTGATTCCAAACCTTAACTGCTGGTATGTAGGAAGCTTGCTGACAAAGTTGCAGCTGTGGGATACTATGTTGTGGTTCCTGATTTTCTTTATGGGGATCCTTATAATCCTGAAACTACGGAGAAGCCTTTATCAATCTGGCTACAATCACATGGAGTAGTATGCGTTCTGACTTATTTCTTTTGGAGTTGAGTTAGGCCCAACTGCCATATCTTTACATGGTATCATAGCCAAGTCCGTTCCCGTTTGGGACCCTATGATATATTGTCCACGCTCTAGTTGGTGGTCTGGGCGTGCGAGGGCGTGTTAGAGTGGTTTAGAGTCCCTCATTGGTTGGGGAATGGCTCGGTGGTCTCCTTATATGGAATTGGGCAATCTTCCCCTCAAGAGCTAGCTTTTGGGGTTGAGTTAGGCCCAAGTATTTACAATAATATTGCCATATGTTTGCATCGAGAATAAAAGGAGGCCATGCCATCATTATCACAGTTTTCCATTCATTAACTTTGTCACTTTGGGACTATCATTGTGCGACATCCATAGTATCAGGCTCACCACCGTGTTATTCATTTTTTGCTTTGTTCTGTCAGGACAAAGGATTTGAAGATGCAAAGCAAGTTGTTGCAGCTTTAAAAGATAAAGGCATATCTGCAATTGGAGCTGCAGGGTTTTGTTGGGGTGGTAAGTTGTTCAATTTTCTCTTTTTGGATTATCCATCCTCGCCGGTACTAGCATGTATAAGTTAATTTCTTGTGGTTGTCTGTGATCCTGATCTCCTGTTTCCTTAACAGCCAAGGTGGTTGTTCAACTAGCTAAGTCTGACGACATTCAAGCGGCAGTGTTATTGCACCCATCATTTGTCACTGTGGATGATATTAAGGGTACGACTGTTTTTTACCAGAATCATTTGTGATTAGATAGAGCTTTTACTCCTGGATTTTATACAAGTGCATTGCTTAGGGACAAAACATTTTATGTCTAAATGTCACTAGAATACTGGTGACTTGTTCGGTCAAGTTATATTACTGTCCTAAATTTGTTCAATGTCTGGATTCCGTTCTTATAGGAAAAATTATTACCAATTGCTTTTGCATATTCCTACGTCCTAAGTGATATTTGGTATCGCATGTTTTCTGAATTCTAGTGAGTAAAGTGAACTGCATCACTTTTAGATTCTTCCTGTTTCCTTGAATCTTTTTTTCCCCTCCTATCCATCGGAACTTATGATGTATTTATTTACAGAGGTGAAGGCACCAATAGCTATTTTAGGAGCTGAGATAGATAAAATGTCTCCTCCTGAGCTTATTAAGCAGTTTGAGGAGATTTTATCATCAAAACCTGAGGTAAGCGACATTAGGGCCTTCCTGTCATTTAAAGATGTCTTTATTTCAGAAATACGGAGCTGCATAATAATACTCTCCTGTTTATTCAGGGGATGTATTGAAATAAGAGATAACTACTTCAATGAATTTCTTAGATCGCATTACAGCCTATGTTGTTCGGACTCTCCGAAAATGTCGTCTGGTGCCTGTCGAATCCTCCAAAAGTAGTATATTTTTGGAGGATCCGACATGGGTGCGGCAACATTTTGGAGAGTCCGCGCAACATAGATTACAGCTAGAGTTCTAGATTTATCCTGTGTGTTGCATTGTTTCGGTCTGTAAAAATAGGTGGACAACTTTGTGAAAATTTATCCTGGTGTCGCCCACGGATGGACTGTGAGATACGATGTGGAAGACAAGAAGGCTGTGGAGAGTGCTGAAGAAGCCCATCGGGACATGTTGGAGTGGTTTACCAAGCATGTCAAGTGAGTGCAAAGAACCCCAGCTGTTTGCAGTTTGCAAGTTTCCAGTTAAAAGTCTGAATGTCGACCATCATCATCATAGTTATGGAGCTAATTATTGATAGACCTTATATTGTATTTCATATTTGAAGAATAATATCGTGCTATGGTCATGTGAAATGTACTGTTTGGTCCATTATGCATTAAGCCTGAGAATGATCTAAGCAACACATTTCTGCTACTGGATGTTCGATATCCCATATAGAATATGCTTTCTCTAAGAAAAAGGTGTTATTTCCTGCGGCGAAGTTGGACGAGTGAGTCAATGGATAATGCCTTTTTGACACTAAATATAATGTAATCGCGAGTTGGTATTTAGAATTAGAAGTGTCGCTCTCTCCGACCACGTCTGAGATTCCTGCTTCTCTTTGTGACTGAGTAGCCTGTTTGGGTAAAAATAGCATGGTATAGCCAGTTTTCGGACTGGTCAATCAAAAAGTCGGCGTTTACCAAGTCAATGAAAAATAGTCACTATTTTGCCTTAATAGAGACCGGTCCAGCATAATATACTGGAGTTCGGTGCACTTGTGTATGAACTCCAGCATATTATGCTGGACCGGTATACTTTGCTGGCTCCAGTTGCTGGCTCCAGTATAATATACTGGAGACTGGAGCACCGGTACTCCAAACTCTAGTATATTATACTGGACCAATATACTCCAGTATATTATGCTGGAGTTCTAGTGTATTTATGCTGGAACTCCATCATATTATGCTGAAAGTATGCTGGAACTCCAGTATAATATGCTGGAGTATTTTCCGGGTTTTGAACAGTGTTTTCGCTCAGATTTATCTTTATATAAAAAGTGGCTAAATTTCAATTACTTTTGAAATTGGGCTATTTTTGAACGACCAGTTGTAAATCTGGCTATTTTTAAAATTTACCCCCTGTTTGGCCCTGTTTCTAAAATTACCTTATTTTGAAAAGTATTTTTTCCAAAAGTAAAGCATTTTTAGCGAGAAGTAATTTGTATTCGGATAATCAATTTGTAAAGCACAGTTTGAGCAGCAATCAATGTTTAATCGAGCTTTTTTTTAAAAAAAAATGCTTTTGGGATAAGTTTTTTATTTTATTTTTTTGCTTTTTAAAAATTGCTTTTGTTTCTATTCAAAAATACTTTTTTCCTTTTATAATTTGGTCAATTTAACTTTGAAAAAAAAAATACTTTTGACAAAAAGAAGTTTAGCAAAACAAGCTTATATCAATGACGAGATAGAGTGACAAGAAAGATTGGCATTTTTACTTGGTTAGCATTTCCATTCCCAGTCACAGCCGGTAGACGTAGTCTATTATTAGATTGTTTATGGATCCACGAAAAAGATAATTATAAGATTAGGTAGTATCAGATATGTAAGAATAATTCGTGAGTTGTGTATAGCTTGCACCAAAAAGTCAGAAGTTTGTAAATAAACACTAAACTCGAAATATTAATCACTTAACTAGCTAAGTGTTACCTTGGCTCTTGCTGACAATTGATTATGAATTCCAAGGAGTATATTATATGTACCATTTAAAAAATATTATAAGAGCACGCACATTCTGGATTTGACTTTTGTTCTCAATTATAAAATGCCACTGATACAATTCAATGTAAACGAGAGAGTAAATCTCACTCCACCTTTTAACCTTATGAATTTGAAACAATACGTCCTTGCCTTTTGCATGACGTTACACACTCCCAGACCTTAAATTAGAGGTGAAAAATGAGTTTCAATTGCTACATATATTTTTAAAATGTCAAAAATGACCTTCAATTTTATTGGATTACTATAAGTTCATATAAAAATGAAAGAAAAAACTAAAATTGCCCAATTATACTGTATAGAAATGCATAAATTATGTATAACCACCTTGTATAATTTTGACATAAGAAATAATACTTCGTTTTATCTTTTGCATGAAATAACCGACACACCTGACTTAACGTTTTAATGGAGTTTTCAAAATTTTAAAATGTCATCTGACCTATAAACTGTACTAACATTCAAAAGAGAAACATTTTATCTTCAGAATAATTTACCAATGAAATATTTCCAAAAATTATAGACATATGCATATGTTAAACTGCCATGAAATAAAAGGAGGATAAAGAGAGGCGTGCAATTTGATTTTACTATTATTTTAATTTTTATTTGTTGGAAAAAAGAACACATAATATAACATATTAATTGAGAACTGAGTAGTTATGTAAGTTTTTTAACATCCAAAACCCATAAGATCAAAATCCCTAGCTCCGCCTACATCCTCCTCTTTCAAGCATACTGTATAACAAATATATATGTTGTGGATTAACAAGAACAATTAGATTATGTATACCAGAGACTCTACAAACCTCCTGATTTCCATTTTTTAGTTTATTTCTATGGTATAAGGGTTATCTTCTTTCTATTTTTTTCGTTTTTTGGGAAGACAATCACTTATGGTCTTAATTATTCTTTGCAGGTTATGAAGCACCAAATCTGAGGTATGCATGTGTTAATTTGTGGTTACTTTTCAAGGGAAGAAGTCAGGTTCACCGTTCTTTGTTTAATTTGTTTAGTAATTAATTAAGGAAGTTCCTATTTTATCTTGTGCTAATACCAAAATTCAACTGCTGTTATATATAGGGACCTCGCTGACAAAGTTGCGGCTGCAGGATACTATGTGGTGGTTCCTGATTTTTTTTATGGCGATCCTTATGATCCTGAAAATACGGAGAAGCCTTTACCAATCTGGTTACAATTACATGGAACAGTATGTGTTCATAATTTGTGGAACTTAATCTTTGTCTTTTTAAAAACATAGCCATAGATTTGTTTCTACAGAGTCAAAGGAGCCAATGTCATCAGGGGTGGATCTAGAGTTTAGGTTATGGTTCGGTTGAACTCACTAGCTTTGGTCTAAACTTATATTTGTCTTAAGAATCCATTGAATACATGCAAATTATTAACTTAGAAATCATTAAAACTAGAATCTCGAATCCATAAGCTTCAAATCCTGACTCCGCTTCGGCGCATGCCATTCATGTTTCTCCATTCGTTAAGTTGATTGTGCTCGGGAATGTCCTGTGACACTCTTAACAGCAGGCCACCTTGCTATTCATTTTCTTATTGTTAATTCTTGTTAGGATAAAGGATTTGAAGATGCAAAAAAGGTTGTTGCTGCTCTAAAAGATAAAGGTATATGTACAATTGGAGCTGCATGATTTTGCTGGGGTGGTAAGCTTTTGAACTCTATGGTTTTAGACTTATTAGGGTTAGTGTTGTTGTGATTCTATCTCCAGTTTTCTTAACAGGAAAGGTGGTTACTGACCTAGCTAAGTCTCATGACTACATTCAAGCTGCAGTGCTGTTGCACCCATCATTAGTCACGGTTGATGATATTAAAGGTATTGCTGTTATTACTAAAATCAGCTTGAATGTCAGATTGAGGTATTACTGTTGAATTTATACTAATTTGATGCATATGCATCCCATATTCGTAGTACCCTACCCTAGGGAAATTCGAATCTCCGCTGCCTCCTTGAAAGAGAGATGCTCTAATCCACTAGATGATGACGCCTTGCTTGACCAACTGTGATCTTACTAGGATCATAGTATGATCAGCTTATTGAAATTGTCTTATATATCAAATGGTTTTATCAGAGGAATCTTTTTCCCTTTCATAATTACATAGAATTATTTTTCTTTGTTACAGATGAATTATTCATTAGATTCTCCCTTAGAAATCTAGTAGTAGTATTTTTTTTATTTATTTGTTTTAAATTGAATTTATTTCGATTATATTAGTTTAGATTGGTAATGCATATTACTTGCAGAGGTTAAGGCACCAATAGCTATTTTAGCTGCTGAGATAGATCCAATCTCTCCTCCGGAGCTTATTGAGCAGTTGGAGGAGATTCTATCATCAAAACCCAAGGTAGAAGAACATGAGACTTGATTATTAAGATTTTCTTATCATTCTAAAAGATTGAAGTTTGAAAATATATACTACTGTCCTGTTTATTTAGGGAATACACTAAGATAGTAAGGAACAAATTCGATGGATTTGTTACATGATTTTAGGTTTTACCCTTTGCTTTTCTTTGTTGCCCTTGTGTAAATATAGGTGGACAGCTTTGTCAAAATATTTGCTGGTGTTGAGCATGGGTGGACAGTGAGATACAATGTGGAAGACAAAAAGGCTGTGAAGAATGCTGAAAAATGGCAAGCTAATCATTGGTCTCGTTATTTCTATGTGTGATTTATAGGAAGTATGGTTACTAGAAAATGTATCACTTGTAAAAAATTTGAACTTCATTACAAAATATTCTCATGCTTTAACTCGGCGTATTTTTGTTCAAATTTTATTTTCGCATTAAAAATGGCTATTTTTCAATTTAATTTTGAACAATAGTTATTATTAACAAGTAGTCCAAAATTTGGTCATCAGATACAATTTTTACTCACTTCATTAGCATTTCCACTCCCACTCGGCGTAGTCTATTTTTGGATTTTACGAATGGATCCACGGCAAATACATAAGATGAGTTATCGGATACGTAAAAACAATTCAACTGTGTATAGCCTGTATTAGGAGTGTACATGGACCGGATTAGTTCGGTTTTTATCAAAACCAAATCAAACCAACTATATCGCTTTGGATTGATTCGGTTTTGTCTGGTTTTTTGGGTTTTTTATTGCATGAATATTATGTCAATCTTACTTTGTTAAAGTTATAGATAAAGTTTTGATAAGTGAATATATGTTTAATAAAAATTTAAAAAACTAACAAATATATAATCTATTAAAATATTCTTATGGAATTTTTTTGGTAAGATATAATAGTTATTTTCTTAGTCATCTAACAATAATTTTTCATAAATGTACGCTTTCAAGGTTAACCAAATTTAATAATTAAGCACAAAAATTAATATGACACATAAATAATGATATATAATATTGAATTTTAAATTATCATAATACCATTTCAAATTCAAAAAAGATAAGAATTTAATAGATCTTGCATGAATATGAAAGGACAAAGAGATTGACGCATTTCAATCATAAGAAGTGATGATACAACCCATTATTTAAAGTAAATAAAAATGGATACACTTCATAGTTCTATTAAATATTACATCCCATGGGAGGATCCTAAATATTTCTAGATACTTTTTTTAAAGAAAATTCTATATAAAGTCTTAAAAGTATATATAAAAA